ATATTACTGACTATCACGAAACCAGTTAGAGTGCTTCCGAGAAGATCCGGTAAATAGCCTCCACAGTAATAAGGCTAACAGAACACACCACTCGTAGAAACTTCATAGTCAAGTTACTAAGTGATACTTACTAACTCTTATCATTTCGATTCTCATCGCTTATACTTTTCGCTAGAAAACTAATGAATACAAACTTCACATTGAGATAAAGTGATATTTAAAACTGTTTCACTACTTCAGCGAATGAACATTAGTTAGAGGGGAACACAGATTGTCGAATCACCATCACCACTCATGAATATTGGTTGTTTCAACTGAGAATTGTAATTGCTTCTGTTAAGTTTAGACTAAAATCCAAGTACCTTGTCAACCTTATTCTACATCAGCCAACATTTCTGACAGAGAAATGTGGTATCTTCGTGGGCATAACACATTCCCCAGCTACCTTAGCCAATGTGGGTCCAACACCCCAGCGACTAACCTCCTCTACTTACCTAAACACTCTATCACTAATCTCAGTCTTATCTAACGTAGGTCTATATCCGATGTGAACGATCGAACGAAGATATCAATCATCAGAATCTGTGAGTTTTCACATCTTTTACTCTCAGTGTCCATGCCTCACAGACGTGAAGTATCAGAGAAGAGAATGGTGCGTCGTACACACGTCTTTCCACAGGAGACATGATACTTCGATCGTGTCAAAGATGACGCGGGTTGGCGAGTAGCAAATGAGCCTCTTGTATCCCGTCAACCACAGAACCACTACGGTTGATCTGAATTCTCAGACAACCGGGACGATCGACACATAGAACAGATGATTGAGATGCTTTCCCGTCGGGTAGTATGTTGAACACTGTTTGACAAAATCAGTTGTCTACACATCTGCTCGTCAACAGTTGGCAAGACTTTCAGCAATAGACTCTGGTGCATATTTTTAAATATCTCGGATGTGTTTTCGTCCTTTTTTTATTTATGTGTTATTTCATAGGAATGTTTCAGCATCAATCTGCTACTGAGGTCCTACCATTCCAGAAAGGTTGTTTGGATAGCGGTTAAACAAAAAGCAGCTACCCAATCCAACATCATGATACATACAAAACACAAAATTTCATGCCGGATCGGCCGTGGCCCGGATTAACAACGACCGCGCTTCCTGCTGCCGTGTCACAGGGCAGGAGTGATAAATATGCTACTGAGACACACAAAACAAAAAGAACAAACAAAAACAGGCCGCGTGTGACCGGCCTCAAGCAGTTGTCCCCTGGGCTCTGCGGTCACGCAACCAACTTCCACGGTGTGGGCAGCCGGGAAGTAACAATCGCCCTCACAATCCGAAATGCACACGAAACCTCTCTATTACTCACTCATCTTTGTCTTCATCTTCATCTCTATCATCTTGCCTTCCTTCCACTGATGCAACTCCTCGACTTGATAGCTCTCCACTTCCTCTCCACTCTGCGTCCACTAAAAACGATGGAAGCCAAAAAACCACCACCGACAGCCTCTTAAAGCCGCGCCACCAATTTCATATAGGAGCTCTTAATGTTAGGACACTTTGCCAAATAGGACAACAAGCATCACTAGCCAAGACCCTGGCATCACGAGCCATTGATGTATGCTGTGTTTCAGAAACACGCATACAAGACCCAAGTGTGGTTATTCACCTAACCCCACCTGGCCAACAGGTTGAATCTGCAAAATTCACCTTGAGGGTGTCAGGAGATGCCACAGCTAGTTCACGAGGATTAGCTGGCGTAGGGATAGCTTTGAGTACTAGGGCAGAAAAGACATTGCTTGACTGGATCCCGGTAGATAGCCGAATGTGTGCTGTCCGCCTGAACGGATCAGTAAGAAGGAGGAAGGACTGCACTACTCGCCGATGCCTTTTCGTAATCTCCGCCTACGCCCCCACTGACTGCAGTTCAGATGAAACGAAGGATGAGTTCTACCAAAAGCTGTCTAGTTTGGTGAGAAAGGCTAAACGCTCAGACATAGTCGTTCTAGCTGGTGACTTTAACGCTCAAGTAGGGAAATTGTGTCAATCTGAGAAGGATGTCGGTGGCACCTATGGAGTTCCGTGCCAGCGAACCGACAACGGTGACCGTCTCCTACAGTTCTGCTCTGATAATCATTTGTTTCTTGTAAGCACTAACTTCAAACACAAGGAGAGACACTGTTTGACTTGGAGACCCCCTTCATCAAACCAACGCTGGACACAAATAGACCACATAGCAATAAGCTATCGTTGGCGTGGGTCGGTAGGAGATTGTCGCTCCTTCTGGAACACGTGCGTAGATACCGACCATGCACTGGTCCGCGCTCGGGTGTGCTTACGACTGAACGGACGTAGGAAACAGCTGGCGGTAAAACCATCACGTCCCCAGCTCGATCAGGAAACTAAATCCGTATTTGAGGAAGAACTAGCTAAACACATATCTGTGTTCGACAGCTGTGCTCACCCTGAAGAAGCTTGGAAAAATATCCAGGCAGCCATAGATACAGCTGTAAAAGCTGTGAATAAGGTAAACCCAAAGGTGAGTAAAAACCACTGGATCTCCACCGCCTCATCCGAACTGATAGATGCTAGAAGACTTATTCCGGCGAGCTCCGAATTCAATGAGGAGCGAAAGCTGCACAAGAGGAAACTTACGAAAAGTCTCCGCAAGGACCGTGAACAGTGGTGGGCGACAAAAGCCAAAGAGATGGAGAAAGCTTCGAGGATAGGCAACACCAGGCAACTCTTTGGACTCATCAGGGAAACGGGTGGGAGAAGACAAATCATTAGTGAGACAATCTCGGAAAAAAATGGCACTATAATTAGCTCCCAGGATAGACGACTGGATCGTTGGAAAGAGCATTATGAGGAGCAGTTTAATTTGCCCACAGCCACGCTCAACCTTCCGAGCATCCAACACCTCCCTGAATGGGATATAGACACAGGTCCTCCGTCACTAACTGAGGTTACTAAAGCTGTCACCAATCTGAAACTAGGCAAAGCAGCGGGACCTGATGGAATGACTCCAGAGGTATTTAAGTACGGTGGAGACAGCTTACTGTCCGGATTAACTGAGGTACTAGGCAGCGTCTGGGAATCAGAAGAAGTCCCATCGGGTTGGTGTAAGTCACTGATTATCCCCATATACAAGAAGGGAGACAAGTCTTCCTGTGATAATCACAGAGGGATTAGCTTGACTAATATAGTATCTAAAGTCTTAGGCTCAATAATCATGCGTAGACTGAGTGGTGCTCGGGAAGCACAAACACGAGAGAGCCAGGCAGGCTTTAGACCAGGAAGAGGGTGTATTGATCATATCTTCACCCTCCGACAGATTCTAGAACATAGGCATTCCTACCGGCGTCCAACAGTCATTATATTTCTTGACCTAAAGGCAGCATTCGAGAAGTTCTCTGGAGATGCTTGGCTGTAAAGGGAATTCCGAGAAAATATATTGCACTGATTAAGGCACTCTACTCATACACATACAGCCAGGTGAGGGCTTACGGCGAGCTGTCATCTGAACTGATGACGACCAGTGGTGTCCGTCAAGGATGCCCATTATCCCCTTTTCTATTCAACTTCATCATAGATGTGTTAATGGACTTAACCCTAGGTGACTTCAGCGACTCAGGGATTGACTTGCTACCAGGGAATAATCTCGTTGACTTGGAATATGCAGACGATATAGTCCTTCTAGGCGAAGACGCTGACGAAATGCAGAGTCTTCTAAACACCTTGAGCTGCAATCTACGAATGTTTGGCATGCGATTCGCTCCCGCCAAATGCAAGATGATGTTACAGGACTGGACTACATCGACGCCTAGTTTAAAAATAGGAAGTGAAGTGGTAGAGCACGTTGACCGCTTCACTTATTTGGGAAGTACCATCAGCCCCAACGGGTTATCTCTGACGAAATCTCAGCACGAATACAAGGGGCTCGTTTCGCATTTTTTAGTTTACGCCGACTCTGGCGTAGACGAGATGTTCGACTATCGACCAAAGGGCGGGTGTACTGCTCATCAGTCCGCTCCGTCCTCCTTTATGGTTGTGAGACCTGGCCACTGAGAGTGGAAGACATGAAAAGACTAGCTGTCTTTGATCATAGGTGCCTGCGTTCTATTTCCCGTGTAAAGTGGCATAATAAGGTGAGCAACATTGAGGTTAGGCGTCGAGTTCTAGGTAAGCAGGGGAAATCAATCGACGAAGTCGTGAAGTTACAAAGACTGAGATGGTTAGGACATGTGTTACGTATGCCAAGTCATCGCCTTCCTCGACGAGCAATGTTAGCGGATATAGGGTCAGGCTGGAAAAAAGCTAGCGGCGGTCAAACAAAAACTTGGCACCAGTCAATGAAATCCACAACAGTTAGTTTAAGCCACGTAGGAAGGTGTAGACTTCCAGGCTGGGGTCCTCGGGACGGTAAAAATCTATGGTTGGAAACAATTGGTGACATGGCTCAAAATCGTTCTCAGTGGCGCAGATGCATCCACTCTTTGTAACTTATGATTTCCAATGAAACTGTTTTGTTCTTCTTTACTTCTTCTTTGTCTCACACCTCTGTTTACTGTCTCTATTATGCTTTTCTTCTTCCTTCTTCTCTTGCTTTGTGTGCTACAAAGGGAGTGTGGCGACTTGAACTTCCGCACATTTGTGCAAAGTTCTATGTTGAAAACATACAGACATACATACAGCAGGTCGAAGATGGGGCAGTAACTCATCGAAGAAGACATTGCGAAGTGGTCGCGCTATGTCGTGAACTGGCAGAAGTTAGAATTCAAGAACCATTGGATCGGGTCTCAGTGGCTCAATGGTCTACGACGTCGCTTGCCTTGTAACCAAAATGTCCTGGGTTTGAACCGCGGTGGTTGCGTACTGATGAAGAGTCTCAAACTAGGACGAAATAGCTGTCCAGTACCTCCAGGTTTTCCAGTGGTTCTCTAACTGATGTCAACTCATGGGGAAATCCTCCATACAATCAAAAGATGAAATAACAAACATATTAAGGAGAGAAAAGTATATGTTGCAGGAAAAAATACACAGCAATGACTACTCGATGAATAAAAATATCGTGAATAAATACACTTGTTTAATTTAATTTTCAAACTACTTATGATTAAGTTGTTTCTTTTATTCGAAGCAAAAGACAATCACATTGCTTGTTCCATTCTACTTTTGGGAATAGAATAAAAGGGTTGTAAAATATATGTGAACAGATCTAACTTATTTGGTATGTGGCTTAAAATAATACATATGGAGAAATAAGTTCAAGTACAATCCAATGATGTGATAGAGACATAAAACCCCAAAATTATGGTAAGATATATGCAAAATAACCGAGACTGTTCACAATTTCAGACTGACAGTCTCTTAATGAACTTTACAAAGGTCAAGATGGAGCTGTAGGACTGAATCACAGTAATCCTCAATACAATCATATATTACAGAGAAGAAAGAAGGATTAAGACCAGAATTCACATTCAGTTGAATAATAAAGTAGCACTGTTAAGTTATAAGAACAGTGATAAAATATAACTTGATGTAACTAAATATTTCATCTTCTAGTAGTATGGTCGTTAGGAGGAATCAAATCACCACCCCCAACTAACTGAGCTATTCCACGTCTGCCAACTACTTCTATTGCAGGAGTGAGGACCTGTAAAACAGAGAAGGAAAATGTAGTAAAATATATTAGTAAGAACTCAGTTAAGCAAAAGAGATGATTCAACATGCACCACGCTATTAGACACACTAATTTGTATGAGTGGGGAAGCGGAGGGGGGTGAAAACGCCTAATAACTCAAGCTGAAGTAGACAGAAAAGGATACAACCTACTGGCGCATACTTCAATTTGAAGTGAGCTTTTAGATTTCTCGACGAGTTTATTAATCATCTCTCCTGGTGAACAACCAATCACGTTGAAGGTCACCAGGGGAGATCATTTCTAAACTCGTGGAGAAATCTGAAAGCTGAAAAAGTGACCTAGTAGGGCAATAAATCCTTCGCAAATTGACTATCCAGCTCACAGAACACAATTACATCAAAGTCATGCACGCAATCTACAAATCTTCTCCACTATATCTGTATCTTACGAGCGGAACACACTTCTTGGTGCTCGAAAGTGGGAGGACTTCACTAAAAGCAAAGAATCCGCCAAAGAGGAATTATTATTCTTTCTCCACGAGTGCCTCCATCATCAAATCTTACCAACCAGTGTCAGATACAAACCACCAGTCAACTGCCCAGTGGGATGGAAATAGGCCAAACAATGTGGTTAACGAATGGCCAAATTGATGGTTACAGATGCACATTATTGGATTGACAAATATCAACAAATAATGGATGTCAAAAAGAAAAAGTAAAAAAACCCTTAACCAGGAACACATGTTAACGCAGATCACTGCAATTACATTGTCAAGTAGAAGACACAGAGAACAAAGACGGAGAGTTCTCAAAACCAAGCTAGCCAAAACCAGAAAACAACGATCAGACAATCAGCTATTGACTGCGGAGTCAACCTACCAAAACATAAACTACTACAATTGGTGGCATGCCTCAAAATCATTCTCAATGCACAGCACAGATGTATCCACCCCTTGTGACTTATGATTTCCAATGAAACTACATTGTTCTTTGTTACTACTATTTCTTTGTCTCACACCTCTGTTTACTGTCTCTATTATGCATTTCTTCTACTTTCTTCTATTGCTTTGTGTGCTACAAGGAGGGAGTGTGGCGACTTGAACTTCCGCACATATGTGCAAAGTTTTATGTCGAAGACAGGCAGACAGACAACAGGATTAAACTACAACACTGAAGACTCTTCAAAAACTGATTTCTTCTCTGCTCTTGAATCATCACCCAAATCATCAAACTCAAACGAGGAAACACAGGAAGAGATACGCCAAACAATCATACCAATGGTCAAACAAAAAAAACACAATTCAACTTCAAAGAACTAAAGGTCCTCGAAAAGCTGAAAAATAGGAATGACATAGTCATTCTACCAGCTGACAAAGGAAGAACAAGAGCAGTCATGGAAAGTGAAGAATACACCAAGAAAGCTGAAGAACTATTCAAAGATAAGGACGTATATCAACAACTTACAAAAATTCCCTACATGCATTAGACAACTGCATCCAAAGGACCTTAAACAAGCTCACTGAAACAGATTAGATCACAAAAAAAGATCAATGGCAAATGAAATCCAATGGGCTAGTCCTACCCCGATTCTACGTCAGGCTCAAAATACACAAACCGAACATGCCGTTACGTCCAATTGTATCACTTCCAAGAACCCCAACATACAATTTGTCCAAAAACTATACAGAAAATTGAAACACCTGAAGGATTCCTGCGACCACTCCATCAAATCTAATATTTAATTTCTAGAGTCTAGAGAAAATCAGAAGCATTCAAATAGATGACCAAGAAATTATGGTCTACTTCGACGTCACAGCTTTGCATACCTCAAGTGGACAGAAACTAGCAAAAAGAGACCATGGAGCAATTACCCAGCAAAGACGAACATTTCCCACAACAGTCAAAAATGCAACACACAAGTTGGATGGAATGCATACACCTATGCCTAACAACGTAGTTCCAATTTAACGGACAAACATATATGAACAAGTTAAAGGAACACCCATGGAATTACCCATAACAGGTTTGATTGCCGATGCAGTGATGCAAAGACTCAGAAACACAATCCTACTACAGATTAAACCCGAAATTGGGATACGTTACGTAGATGATACATTCGTAATAATCGAAAGAAACGAGTTGGACGAAACTCACAACTTACTGACATCCTATTTTTCTGAGTGTCTTTCATATTAAATAACCCTTGCCAATACCTACTAATCTTAACCCTGTCTAGTCATAATTTGATTATTCATCACACACACACACACAAGAATAGTTATATGCAATTGCGACTGTACAGCTAAGTGAATGAATTCGCCGAAAACAGACTCTTCGCTGAACTGTTCGTTTTTATATTTATGCCTAAATGAGTATTTTTCGTGAAAAAAATTGGGTTCGTCGAGTATCTGGCGATGATTGTTGGGTTAAATATATAGGTGAAAGTAGTAAAGTAGGGTCAGTCAGGTTAGCGGAGAACAGAAACCTTAGCGAAATCTTGACTAGTAGAGTGTAGTAAGCTGATGATGAATTAAGAAAAACACTCACCACTACATGCAGTTAATTACACACAACCACATAATATGATGGTAGAAGGTAGTCGAAAATCGAATGTAACTGGTTTGGGAGATTGATAACTGAAGCTTTACTCAACGTATCAACTGAGAATATGCGCAATATGAATGGTTCCACACCTGTTTGTCTGTCTGTCTGTTTTCGACATAGAACTTTGCACAAATGTGCGGAAGTTCAAGTCGCCACATTCCGTGTAGCACGCGAAGCAAGAGAAGAAAGTACACGAAAAGCATAATAGAAACAGTGAGCAGGCACCTATGATCAAAGACAGCTAGTCTTTTCATGTCTTCCACTCTCAGTGGCCAGGTCTCACAACCATAAAGGAGGACGGAGCGGACTGATGAGCAGTACACCCGCCCTTTGGTCGATAGTCGAACATCTCGTCTACGCCAGAGTCGGCGTAAACTAACAAATGCGAAACGAGCCCCTTGTATTCGTGCTGAGATTTCGTCAGAGATCAGCCCGTTGGCACTGGCTGATGGTACTTCCCAAATAAGTGAAGCGGTCAACGTGCTCTACCACTTTACTTCCTATTTCTAAACTAGGAGGCTGTGTAGTCCAGTCCTATAACATCATCTTACATTTGGCGGGAGCGAATCGCATGCCAAACATTCGTAGATTGCGGCTCAAGGTGTTTAGAAGACTCTGCATTTCGTCAGCGTCTTCGCCTAGAAGGACTATATCGTCTGCATATTCCAAGTCAACGAGATTATTCCCCGGTAGCAAGTTAATTCCTGAGTCACTGAAGTCACCTAGGGTTAAGTCCATTAACACATCTATGATGAAGTTGAATAGAAAAGGAGATAATGGGCATCCTTGACGGACACCTGTTTATGACATCTGGAATACTCTACTACCCTCACGACAAATGAGGAAGGACAGGAATCACAAAAATTGAGTTTCCGAGTAGTGTAGTTACAGCTGATATAACTATGAACAATAGACTGTGTTCGGAATGTTATCAAGTAAATAATATAAATTCATTGTGATATATACAATGAACAAATAGGCACAGAATGAATATGAAGTACGTGACTACTAAGATACACGACTGTTCTATGTGCTCCTAGATTCATTTGACAGCTATCCAGACCACTGTTTATAAAGCGGAATCGAAACTGTTAATCTGCTTTTTGAAAACTATGTACGTAGACCAATGGGGCATACTTCTACATACGGCTCCTCTCCTTTCAATTTTAGATATTCCTATGTAATAATGTAGCATTTACAACCTTCTTGTTATACGATTATTGAATAGCTGATACAAAACGCTTTGCGTAAACTGATGAAAGCAACATATATTTATTCTTATATGCGCTAAGGTAGGCTTTATTTGCTTACCGTGGGCTCAACAATGGCATACCGCAACCAGTAACTAAGTCTTCAATATATTTAATAGTGTGAAATATTCACATCTCATGAATTAAAAGTCAATCTCAAAAAAGAATATTGTTTTCAATAATTTATCTTCAGGTTCTTACAAATTTAAAATATATTTGTTGTCGTTATAATAATGACCAATAGGTTATAAAAGGTGTCAGGTGAGTGGCTATAACCTTGAACTGAATTGTCAATTTTTCCTACCCCACATTCTAGGAATCCATTATGACTAATTACCACCACTGTCTCCCATTTCACAATATTGTGATCGATTTCAGCCTAGCACGTTTGTCATACAAGTACGACTATTTATTTTGGCACCGCATAACTAATCTGTTATTCTCCGTAGAAAATGTATCCGCTGCATAACTGGCCATTATTGTAACGACAGTATATATTATATTTTATAAATGTAAGCACCTGAAGATGAATTATTGAAAACAATATTCTTCGTTTAGATCTTCAACATGTTGCAATTTCGGTAGGAAATATAACGATACAAAAATAGAGATAAAGTGCTAGAGCATACCTTATTCATTACTAACTCAGCTGATTGGTCTATAGCATTAGCTAATTCCGGTGCTCGACCAGTATAACTTAAAAACAACCAGGTAAACAATGTTATTAAAGCAATGTAGAACGGCATAGTCAGAGCATTTGAAACCACTGATAAGCCAATGAACTCAGATATTCCTGTGACAACATAGAAAAGCAGTAGGATAACAACCAAGACGGTTGGAGTACGAAACGTCTACAAATGAAAAAGTAAATAAAACAGGCAGTTAATATATTTATTTCCGAAATAATAACAGTGTAGGGTTAACAATAAAACCATGTAACTCAGTCCTGCACATTGAAATTATATATAAACACCTTATTTTCCAATTATGAATGAAATGAATCGTACCCAGAATATTACACAAATTGGGTATATGTTATAGAATATGATTACGAATTCAAAACACGACTGTTAGTCATAGTACGAAAGTCTGATAATGTCATTCTACTTTCCGTATTAAATAAGTTTAGTTCAAATGTCACAGCGATGAAGTTTTAATAACTAGATGACGTTTCGAGTATGGATTATTGCTCATAATCATATTCTACTTTCTTTATAATGCCGGAGTAAGTACTATTTGCGAGTTCTTGTTTGACGAAATAAGGGTTGAATACACTCAGTTTTGTGCTACATACTAGGAGATCATCAGTGGAAAACCTGAAACTTGGACACCATGAATTTCGGTACGTATTAACCAATAATGTTTACATCCAGGAAAAATTTACTGTTTTCTTTAAAATTCGAACTGAAACTCTATTGTTAACTGAGCATTACCATTAGTATAACCAGTATTAATATAATTACAGAGTGCATACATATGCGAGCACTACCAAATTCTCGGTTTTTAAAGGTATATATTATAAAACTTACATCTATTAGGCTATATTTCGATATCTAAAGTGACACAGGACAGGAGTGATAAATATGCTACTGAGACACACCAAACAATAAAGAACAAACAAAAACAGGCCGCGTGTGACCGGCCTCAAGCAGTTGTCCCCTAGGCTCTGCGGTCACGCAACCAACTTCCACGGTGTGGGCAGCCAGGAAGTAACAAACGCCCTCACAATCCGAAATGCACACAAAATCCCTCTAATCCTCACTCATCTTAAGTGACAAGTCTTTCATCAATGAGTTAAATCATCATATAATTATATATTTCAACAAGTCATATGGCATTTAAAATATGTTATTTATGAGACAATGCGAATAACACCAGTGTTTTGCTGCAAGTCAACAATTTAAACGGATGGTTCTCCAACCAACAGTTTAATCACACACTAAAAGAGAAAAGCCTTGCAGCTAATCATATGTGTATTCTTTGAGAGACTTTAGTCTAACTAACCACCTTTTATACCAAATATACATACGACTTTACAACTTTTAAAAGATCCTTGAAAAGACACATCTACGTGCTGAATTAATGGACAAATAAGTGTACTGTGTTGTGCGTTTTTTGAGAAGGGAGAGTATATACTCCTTGTTTGGAAGCCATTTACTTACTTATCAGAACAAATTTATAAATACAAGAAATGAAAATATTCTTAAAAATGTACAAAGACATTATAACATACTTGAAATATGTTCTTTTTGGAATTCGCTAAGCGGAAGTCTTCTCCCATTTGCTTCATTGTTTCCTTTAAGCGATGCAAATAATCTTCAGAAAATGCTTCACCACCCATTTTAGGGATACTATTGAACTTCTCAATACAAGTATTATATATTTTCGAATGCAATGCATCTAGTTCATTCGGGTTGATGTACGGTCGGTCTGGTCCACATACCTAATAAGGTTTAGAAAGAAAAGTGTAATCAGGGTTCCCAACAGTGTACTAAATGACTTGTTATGAAATAAGCATACGACACAGCTGTAGAAAATTACTTAAGAACAGTGAAAATAAGTATCGTGTTGGTTAGGGCTCATCAGTGCATACTTCGGAACCCAGATAACTGTCTCATGTTACACCATTCTTCAAGTAAAAGATAGTATTACGAAGTGTTTGAAATGGACTGATTATACAGACACAATTTAATATTTATATAATAATAATAATGAAAACAAAAACACGTCGTGCAGTGAAGAGTTTCTTTGCAACGAATTCATTCACTTAGCTGTACAGTCACAATCACATATACTTGTTTGTGTATGAGTCTGTACATTAAGTTTCTCCGATAAGAATAAAAATAAGTTAGGGTTATCATTGTTGTCAAGACATTTCAAAAATGTGATGAGTAATCAGATTGTAACTAGGGGTTGGGGTGAAGATTGGTAAGAGGGTAGTTGTGATGTGTTGCCAAAAAGACAGTTACTGATGTTAATCAACACATAAAAGAAGTTGAATAAACGTAATAACTCCCTATAACATTTTTAATTCCTAGAACTCTTACACAATTCCATATTTTCCTTTGTTTCTATGTGCATCCTGACTACAACTCACTCATTAAACTATCCATCTCATTACGTAACTGTATTACGTTTATTCAACTTCTTTTATGTGTTGATTAACATCGGTAACTATGTCTTTTTGGCAACATATCACAACTACCCTCTTACCAATCTTCACCCCAACCCCTAGTTACAATCTGATTACTCATCACATTTTTGAAATGTCTTGACAACAATGATAACCCTAACTTATTTTTATTCTTATCGGAGAAACTTAATGTACAGACTCATACACAAACAAGTATATGTGATTGTGACTGTACAGCTAAGTGAATGAATTCGTTGCAAAGAAACTCTTCACTGCACAACGTGTTTTTGTTTTCATAAATGCCTGAATGGGGACTATTCATGAATTATAATAATCACTATTCAGAAGAATAATTATAAATAGTGGCATTTTTTAGCGTTTTTTATACACACTGCAACAGTTTATCTCCTTTTATAAACATGTACACAGAAAAAATTCTAAAAATAACAGTAAAATCACAAAAAAACTGAAGCTTGACAGAAACAATAAATTATAAATAGATAACATCATAGATAGTACACGTAATAATAATCTTTGCTCATACTTTGCAGTTCAGATTACTGATTTAAAAAGTTTATGTGTTCTTTTCTGACATCTGACTATCTCTTCACACACAACCACCCATGCCAAGTATGGGTGAATTCGTGCTAAATTCATATGAATTATCTTCTGGTTTCACCCGCGGAGATAAACAAGGAGAAAGTTGAGAATAAAGAGGATGTTCAGTATCAGACAAGATAACTTTAGCCAACTGCTTTCAAGAATTCAAATGCCTGTTGACAATAATGTCAGTTAGCTGAATTAAAGGCATACCATTAACCCTACAGTCTTTAGTGTTCTACGTAATATGATATAGTCTTTCTTGAGAAGCCCAGGGAAGAGTAACGGCGAATAATAGAAAAGAATGGGTAGAATATATGAATTGAGTTTTGCCAGAAGGTTTCAACTTCTTTATGTAATAAGTCAAACAAAAGATATGAGATGACTAACAGAGATTCTAAGAGAAGCTGATACCGAGATGAGAGATTTCCGATTTACTCTCTACCAAAGTGCCGTCAATATTACGGGAATCATGAGACTGAGTCAGTCTACGCAAATCTTGTTCGCATCTGAAACTAAAATCAACAATATGAAATTTAGATGGATTTAATTTAAGACCATTTAGGTGAGGCCACTTGTTAACTTCAGACAAGAATTTATTCATATAAGAACAGTCCACACCAGAAACTACCAGGACAGAAATGGTAAGAACATAGGTATGTTTAACGAAGTTAGCCTTGGAAGAATATGGAAGGTCATGCAAAAAGAAAGAAAAAATGAATGAAGAGAGTACAGCAACTTGAGGCGTTGTTATTGTTTTCTAACTGAAAAATAAGAAGACAGTCACCTTGTGACCCACGAATCAGTGTTTGCTGAAATCAGCTTGCTCAGTAAACGTGCTCTAGGAATAGAGTTAAAACAGCAGTGCAGTCTAAAAAGGAGGTCCGAACAAACTTTGCGTGTTTATCAAGACTTGAAACAATACAACGACAGCATCTAAAGTGCTTCTACTGCATTTGTAAGCTGTTTGTCTGTCTGTCTGGATTCAATATAGAACTTGGCACCGAAGTGCACCAGTTCCAGTTGCCACGTTCCGAATAGCACACGGAGGTAGACAAGAAGATGAGTGAAGAGAATCAATACAGTCTGACAAGTATAAGAGTGAAACAGAATGGGTAATGGTAGAAAGGAATATGAAAGATTACGGAGACTGAATACATCTGCGCTGGCCATTGACAACGATTTTGAGCCATGTCACCTATTGTCTCCAGCCATTGATTCCTAGAGTCCCGAGGGCCCCAACCCGGGAGTCTGCATCTCCCTACCTGACTCAGTTTAACTGTCAAGGATTTCATGGATTGATGCCATGTTTTTGTTTGGCCACCACTGGCTCTTTTCCAACCTGAACCTATGTCAGCTAGCAATGCCCGTCGGGGGAGGCGGTGGTTAGGCATGCGCAGCACGTGACCTAGCCATCTCAATCTATGTAAGTTTATAGCCTCGTCGATTGATTTTCCCTCTTTGCCCAACACTCTACGCCTAACGTCAACATTACTTACCTTGTGAAACCACCTAACGTGAGACAGAGATCGCAGACATCTATGATCGAAAGCAGTCAACCTTTTCATGTCTTCAACTCGTATTGGCCATGTTTCAGAGCCATAGACAAGGACGGAGCGAACTGATGAGCAGTACACACGTCCCTTGGTTGATAACCGGATGTCACGCATTTGTAAGCAAACTGCTTTGGGTCATAAAAAGATTTCAAAGAAGGTTTAAGAATATGAAAGAGACGTTTCTCTACAGTCTTCCGAAATTGGAGACATGACGGCGATCGATCTGAACTTTAGACCTAACCCAAATGTTTTGGTACAGACACCACCTTTATTTCTTCACAAGCGACAGGTATCGTATCCCTGTAAAACGATGCATTAACACAAAATATCAGCACACTTTTGAAACGAAATGCTTGGTACACCATCGGATCTTAGGCTTATGGTGGATTTGAGACATGTTAATATATCCTTTTCATTAGAAACCAGGGAAATGATCATTTACGTCACTAGGAACATCAGGTCCAATCATATGAGCTTGTTGCATTATGAAAGACCTATATAAGGCATTTACATCAGGATAAAGATCAACTGAAATTTGTTTTCTGCTTTTAAGTTGATTATAAAGTTTCCAGGTGCTAGAAGCATTCTTACATGACAAACATTTCATTGTATATCTCATTTATCACTATTTAGTTGTACCACTATTTTAGTTGTCAGAAATTAATTTCCCCTCACAGATTCACAGCAGACGCACTTGATATTAACACAATATTCTATAAAACGTTCTGAAAATGGTATAGGTGATCGGAAACATTTTAACACATGATGCAGATGTTTAGAGAGGTTAATCTTATGTTAAAGAGATTGAAACATATGAGAAACTTCAATTTCAAAAATATCTGATAATAGATAGAAGTGAAAACACTAGGTGAGCCGCATACCACGCTAAGTATACTAAGAAATGTCAAATCACTTAAAAAGGTAAGCCTGAATATGCACTTTAAAATCTATTAAAACGCATTTTTCATCTCCAACACATAAATTGTTTCTTCACGATCGAGTTTTTACTTTTCAACAAACGAGGAGAGATAAAATGACCCGATTACATTCAGTTAGAAGAAACAATGTAAACAGATCATAAGCAATGAATGAATAGAATAAATTCAATCCGAAGACTAGAAACCACACTGTAATGAGATATAAACAAAGACAGTCACCTTACAAAAGTGTAACAGCTGGAATTGGATTCTCGTACCTAGTTCTTTCATAAAAATCCTTCCATATGACGGGCCTCATATATCATAAATCCAAGGTAGTGATTCATTTCGGTGATGTGAACAGATAGGTAACTGAAGAATATATGATAAACACTAATAGCTTTTCTTCCATAAATCAACTAGTGCAAAATACTGTTTCAAGTGATTTATTTATTGTATGTTCCGTTTATTAATTTAATGTCACACGAAAAGCTAATTACCATAATACTTCTACCCCGTATTAGAATTCTTAAAATATAACTCATGTTATAATCCTCGAGAATAATTAACTTTGTGCATGTATTCAACGGAATATAAATGTTAGGTTACAACCTTACTAATACTACAAGCCAATTAAAAGTGAAGGAGTTCACCGGTAACATTCGAAAGATGTTGGATTAAATAACCAATGAAACCCTATTATCGAATTAGAAAGGACACGTGTTGACGGTACATCATTTGTACTATACATATGACAATAAAGGTTTGATTTGTTTACCTTGTTCATCGCCTCTGTGTACATTTCTTGACAAGTTAATATTGCATTTAAATTATTTGCTTCTGCAGTCGCCTCCAACATTGAACGTGGTTCTGGAAGAGTATCACCCTCGTAAATCTTTATGTATGCTTTGAAATAGGTAAATAATTCACGGCATGTAACTTCTTGGCCATTTATTTTTTTGACAACTAAATTGACTGGAGCTAAGAGATGAGGGACCAGAACTATGAGATTTTCAACGAAACCGGGATCAATGTCTTTCACTCGCCCGTCAAACTTCGGATTAGTTGAAACTTTAAGACCAGGATGAGGCATTAGAAAACAATCCACCTGAGAGAAACACGACCGAATATGGCGACGAACAGTTTGATGCTCTGTGTGGTGTTCTTGAACAATCTGAGGAAATAAAATGTGATTGTAAAAAAAGAAAATTAAACGTTCGCAACCCTTTTTCAATTTTCAAACCCTAATTTCTCAGTGCGATCCTAAAGGCAAACGCCGAAGTCTTTGATGTGCACCTATAGTAGGAGTCATTTTGTAATGCTCAAATGACTGATGCTTGTTATTTATTTATTCGTTAGTCTATTCATTTCACAAAAACGGAATTTATTGATAACATAACTATCATTGGTGAACTCCATTATAGATAAGATTTTATTTTGATAAATCATACAGTGTAATACAGTAATATTAACTGATGACGTTTTGAGCACAAACTATTGCCCATAATCATATCAAGTCATTCACACAATGTTATACAGTAATATTAAATTACTGTATGACACTGTGTGATTTATCAAAATAAAATCTTATCTATAATGGAGTTATACTCTACCACAGTATCCAAGTTGTATACTTATATCATTGGTGAAGTTTGAGACGTTTGGACTATTCAGTGAAGAATATCCAAGTGTTATGGACAAAACCTAACAGCTCTTTCAAGGTGAAAATCTAGATGATTCAGTGACCGAAGCTAAAGGAAATTAGTACTAACCCACTACTCATGCTCTTAAGTGTAATTCACTAATCGTCTAGTAGGGATATTCATTTTATTATCTTCGTCATTTAATTCGCGAATCAAAGATCAGAACAATAAAAAAGTGACCCATTAGTTCTGGCAGTAAAATAATAATATTAGTGCAACTCATCAATCATGTCAGTAGATAGACAATAACTGATGAACAAAACCTACTGTGTCAGAACTAACAGTACATATTACCTACCATTATGCGTAGTGGAGTTGCAACTTGTGACCTAGCAGATGGGAATTCAGTGTTCAGATGAATAAGCAGTGATCACTGTATTAAAATGATGATATGTTTAGTAGCTGAGTCTTGTAGACAAGCAAGTGGAATTGCCAATCCTGAAGTCACTGGTTCAAATCCTGCCAAGACTCACACTTTCATTTCAACTTCAATCATCATCCATCATATAAATACGGAGTAGTTGACAGATGTACATTGCAAATAAATTACCAGTATTTAACAAGCTAGAATACACTTTTTATGAGAAAACAAATGTATTAAGGCTCACATGATCAGATCACACTACGTATGCCATGTGAAGTAGTATTATATACTTAAATATTCTGTGATCCATAGAAAGAAACACTTATAACAAGCTACTGGATTAAGAAAGTGTTCAATAAGAAAACTGCGTAGTTGGTTACCACAACTTTTAAACGCGATTCAGAAATTCTGTTTGGGAGGAGCGGCAAATGAAGATTGCATAATATTTGTGAAATAAGCGATTCCAATATATTTTTCACTAGAAACTGCTACTGTCACTGTACAACACTGTCGTCAAAACGATATTTTTTTTTATTTTTGATTACAGCTTGATTCCACACCGTATTTTTGGTACAATTATGGAATTTTCAGCGTGGATATCGGTAGCCCAAAATTCGCAGGCCGACCATAGATATCAAGTGTGCGTCGGCGTGGGCTCGAACCCCGGACCATATGCATGGTCGGCGAGAGTCCTAACCACTGTGCCACCGACGCTACCTGGGCAGCCAGTTTCTCACGCTGTACGAACATTCCACGTCCACATGTTTATTTTTACATCCATCGAAAGAAGACAAATCGGACGAATGGCTTATCGAAGGCTTTCACCAGCCCGTTTCATCCCGTCTCTCCGATTCCAGGGGATAATAAGTTTTAATGTCAGTAAAAAAAATGAACTATATATATGAGTACAAATAACAAAAGTGTGAATTAAAACAAAACAACTCCAACAGTTAGTGTGATCACGGGCAGTAATTTTGCTCGAATTATTAACAAAAACAAAAACTTATGATTGTGTAAACTATTGAAACGTAATTATAATTTAACTTCAACATAACATGAAGTTACACCTCACAACAGTTATCACAACTATCTTTCGATGCTGTAGCTTTAAGTAACTTCGAGTATCATCACACGGAGTTCCTCCTATTTATGTCATCCTTTACTTTGCTATTAACAACCTTTGAACATTTTGATACTTGGAAGTTCGATGTCTTTCTTATTAATTCCGACTTTTCCGTGCAGTGGTTAGCGAATACCTAATAATTATTAAAACACGTTTGCTCTATTAGTTTACCACAAAGTTTCTTTAACTGGACACTGTAGTTATCAGAAGAGTAGAATAAATTTAAAAAGCAACATATTACACTCCCATGACGCAATGACTAGTGATACAACCTGGATTTGTGGTGATTTAGCTAAATATTTAAATTGCTTTCGTAAAGTTTAAACAGGTGTTTATTCGTCTAACCATAAATCTTAAGATATAAATCAACTGACCTACAGAATGTCAAAAAACCGCTTTATGGATCATACGGATATCCCACATGATGTAATTAACTCAAAAACTAAAATGCAATGCAGAAAAATACACAGGAGAACCAAAACCATTTTTCGAAATCAGAGTTGATTTCCAGAAAAACAGAAACGAAACACGCAGAGACTGATATACGAGAGGTTCATCCATGTACCATAACAAAGTTGACATCTGAGGAAGAAATTATTCCCATGCCTGTTATAATATGGAAGTGACTAGACGCTCTTAAATGAAAATGAGAGTTTTCAAGTATTGGTTTTGTAGGAACTTTGTTTGATTGATTAGAGGATTTCATCATCAGCTGATTTCAGCTCACGATAAAATCCTCCAACCAATCAAAAATGACAGTATTCCTTACGTGTAAAATAGAGACCAAAATAAAGTCATGGCTCACCGAACATCTTCACTGGGATATATGTGTAGTCCCTGTCTTATTAATGCGAATGCATCATAGTTTACGCAATATTTCAGGAATAGATGCGCTAGCATTTATTCCACAAGGTAAATAGCAGGGAGTGTCAGAAATAGGTCATGCTACAATAAATAAAAATTATGTTATATAAGAGCAACAAAGAGAAGCTTCAACAAAATAACACACTTAAAATCAACAATACTAAGTACCAAATATTTAAAACTACCTTGAGACGGTTATTGAGCAACTGATTACCACCATCTTTTCCAAAATTGTATTCGTAAGGAAAACTCCAATCACGAACAAGAAACAACAAATGCTAGATAGGAAACAAATGTGAATAAGTATATGTGACTATTATATTAAACTTTATAAAATAGCTCCTTAATTTCATGGCAGAACTCCAGCCAGGGAAGTAACTAGATTGTTTCGGAAGATATAAGACGTTGAAAGTGCCTATCAGCATGAAATAAGGTCAACGTTGCGACTACGCTTGAAAATCGCATTATATATGTAACGGTTATCACAGTGTTAGCCAACTAATGGGTGTATCACAAATACTGTCTTCGGTTATCTCCTGTGGACTTTAAAAAATCCTCGACAAATAAGCTCGTCAACAGCATACTGGGTTCCCATCAGGTTGCAAACACGTGTTCATCCTTTTCATCAACTGTTACAACAAAAGTCTTTGTATTTCTTCGTATTGGGCCTGACTTCAATTCATTGGACAACCCTGTACTGTGAAATTCTGTGGTATATAAAGGAGTATCTCAGGAGCTTACCAACATCTTCAATGCTCCATGCAAAATTACCTCAGGTAAAATAAAATCATAAGAACACCTACCCAGACATCAATGGCGTTGGACACGCTTGTCCAATTTCCCCAATTCTCTTTAACCTCGTCTTCAATGACATTCTAAATACAACTATGAAGGATGAGTGTGACAGCAGTGCCGATCTCCTGACTGAAGAAAGGCTTCACAACCTTGAATAAGGGGATGATATCAGTTCACTGTGGGATAATGCATAGACTACCCAAATATTACCTTGTCGGTTGATAATCAGTATCCATAGGTATGGTACATGCAAATTACTACTACAAGATTCGTAGAAGACCGTACTCGCACCCACATTCACATGGCAACTATTAGAAGTATTTGAGAAGTTTATGTGTCCAGGTAGTTTTCAGCACCGATTTTGCGATGGGTGAGATTTGCAATATGTGGTGAAAATTAGGGTGACATATGTCAACACGAGCAACCTCAAGCGCCATAGTGACATTAATCCGGCCAACAGACATCTGATTTATGAAGATCATTCTTATTAAAAAGTCAGAGATAGTTTGTGTTCACTTATCGTTGTCTCCGTATAACTTTTGCATCCAGCGATGTCGTCACGCAAGTAATTCTGTTATCCGGTGGCACTAATTTGAAGAGGGAAGATACCATCTCTCCACAAGTGACTTTATTTTAGGGAGCTGGCTTTGCTAGTCTAGGTGTGTGCGACGAATATCCGTCCAATGACTTCCACACTGTTCACTCTGTCGGCTTCGGGACAAACGAAAAGAAAGGCTTGGATAGCTTATGATGCCACACTACGGGATAAAGAGAAAAGGTGTTGGGTCAGCATGACCAACTGGGTGAAGTCCGAGAGATCATGAAACTAATTGACACCAGACGGATATTGCTCGGAATCGAAATAAAAGCTAACATGTTAATAATTCCTTACTTCTTTTTGAAAGTAATATCAAGCCATTAATTGTCATTCGAAAGCATGCTTTTCTATTTTTACTCTTTAGCTAAAGTTTTATTTCTTCTTATAACGCTTTATATTAAGTGCCGCATCCGATTGATTAAATGAGTTCAAAAATAGACCTTTTCACAGAAGTGCAGCAGCTTGAATTGCCATACCCCGTGCAACACACAGTAGAGAGAATAGAAAACAAGATCCAAAAGAACTATAATCAGCACTTAATGTAAGTCAGAAGGAATAGTCAAACCATCGTTGTTGGTTGTCCACATAGAACTCAGCAAGCGCTGCCAATACACTTCCCTAAATGACAGCTCTATCTGAGCATTGAAGCCGCCTACCAAAACGACGCGCGTCATCTCAAACATAAGTAAAAAGTTAGTTTCTGGCATGGAGCAACATGGGCAGATCATAGTTTTTTCCGAGTTGATCACGGACTGATATCAGTTAGAGAACCATTGAAAACCAGGGAGTACTGGACAGCTGCTATTTCATTCTAGTTTGAGAATCATCGGCAATACGCACCCACCGCCAGGGTTCGAACCCAGGACCTTTTGGTTAGAAGGCAAGCTCGTATACCATTTAGCCACTGGGACCCGATTCAACTGGAAGGTCCTAGGTCCGAATCCCAGTGGGTGCGTACTACCGATGATTCCCAAACTAGAATGAAACAGCTTTCCAGTACTCCCTCGTCTTCAATGGTTCTCTAACTGATATCAATCCGTGATCAACTCGGGAAAAAAATAACTAACCCTTACAAATAAAACTATACAGATCATATTTGTTTTCATTAGAAAGATACTAAATACACAAACGAAGCGAGCGAAATGCAATGAGAAGCACGACGGAAATAAAATGAATAATGTGTGAGATTACACGACACACAGAAACATATGTGAAACTACGGGGTAAACACAATACAGCTAGCGACATTCCATTGTTTGTCCACTGAATACTGAGGTCCCTGATTTTCAATAAGACTGCTACTGCGAACTAAGTTATCCAAAATTAAACTAGTGATTACTTCAGAAGGAAAATAAAACTACTAAGACCAAACATGGGAATTTCACTCTATTGGCTACAGCCCAACTGAGCTTAATCAGATCGAATAGATCACTTGGACCATAAGCTTTAGACGCTTAAGTCTGTCTGTTTTCGACATAGAACTGCACAAATGTGCGGAAGTTCAAGTCGCCACACTCCGTGTAGCACGCGAAGCAAGGGAAGAAAGTACAAGAAAAGCATAATAGAGACAGTAGGCAGAGGTGTGAGACAAAGGAAGAGTAATAACGAAGAACAAAACAGTTTCATTGGAAATCATAGGTTACAAGGAGTGGATGCATCTGCGCCACTGAGAACGATTTTGAGCCATGTCACCAATTGTTTCCAACCATTGGTTTTTACCGTCCCGAGGACCTCAACTAGGAAGTCTACACCTTCCTACGTGGCTTAAACTAACTGTTACAGATCTCATTGACCGGTGCCATGTTTTGGTTTGATCGCCGCTAGCTCTTTTCCAGCCTAACCCTATATCCGCTAACACTGCTCGTCGAGGAAGGTGATGACTTGGCATACGCAACACATGTCCTAACCATCTAAGTCTTTGTAACTTCACGACTTCATCGATTGATTTCCCCTCCTTACCTAGCACTCGACCGATGTCTAACCTCAATATTGCTCACCTTATTATGCCACTTCACACGGGAGATAGAACGCAGGCACCTATGATCAAAGACAGCTAGTCTTTTCATGTCTTCCACTCTCAGTGGCCAGGTTTCACTAGCAGCCATAAAGGAGGATGGAGCGGACTGATGAGCAGTACACCCGCCCTTTGGTCGAAAGTCGAATATCTCGTCTACACCAGAGACGGCGTAAACTGAAAAATGCGAAACGAACCCTCTGTATCCGTGCTGAGATTTCATCAGAGATCAACTCGTTGGCACTGGCTGATTATTATTATTATTGCTCCCTTGGGTTCCTAGTGGAACATAGGGCTTCAACTGCACGTCTCCATTTTCTTCTGTCTTCTGCTATACTTTTCGCCTGCATCCATGTTAATCCATATTCTTTCAACTCCTCTTCACACGATCTCCTCCATGTCACCCTTGGACGTCCCACACGCCGCTTCCCTTTCGGGTTCCACTCGAGGGCTTGTCGCGCGATGTCACCCAGCGGTCTCCTCAGCGAGTGTCCGATCCATCTCCACTTTCTCCTGCATATTTGTTGGGCGATTGGTTCTTGCTTTGTTTGTTCCCATAATTCCTTGTTGGTGATTCTTTCCGGCCATCTGATCTTCAGTATAGAGCGAAGACAGTTGTTAATAAAGGTCTGCAGCCTTTTGGAAATATTCTTTGTGACCCCCCGCCAAGTTTCTGATCCGTATAGAAGAACTGACTTTACGTTTGTATTGAAAATCCGAATTTTGTTGGTGATGCTGAGTGACGAAGATTTCCAGATTGATTTCAGGCTGATGAATGTGTTTCTCGCCTTCCCGATTCTCGATTTGACATCCTCGTCCGCTCCTCCTGTAGTTGAGACAATGCTCCCTAGATAAGTGAATGAAGTAACCTCTTTCAAATCCCTCCCGTTGATGGTGATTGACGTTGGATGTTGTTGCTGTTGTTGGTTGGTTATTTTCATAACCTCCGTCTTGTCTATGTTTACCTGGAGTCCTGTCTTTGCTGCTTCTTCGACCAGTTTGTCGGTTTTCGCTTGTAAGTCTTCGATTGTGTGTGACATCAAACATAAATCATCCGCGAAATCCAGGTCTTCTAGGTTCTTCACGTCGGTCCAGGATATTCCTGTCTTCTCGTTTCCCACAGTCTGACGCATAATCCAGTCCACCACAATTAGGAATATCATTGGTGATAATAAGCACCCTTGTCTGACTCCTGTGTTTACTCCAAACGCCTCGCTGAGTTTTCCGTTGTGGATCACTTGGCGGGTGCCGTTGTCGTACAGCTGTTGAATAAGGTTGATGAATATTTGGGGTACGCCATAGTACTCGAGTAATTTCCAAATTACTTCACGATCAACGCTGTCGAAGGCCTTCTCAAAGTCTATAAAGTTGAGGTAGAGGTTTGATTGCCATTCCATGCTTTGTTCGATGATGATGCGTAGAGTTGCAATTTGGTCAGTACATGATTTGCCTTTCCTGAATCCAGCTTGTTCTGGTCGGAGTTCTGTCTCCAGTGCGTCCTTTAATCTCTCCAGGATGATGCGACTCAGGATTTTACTTGGCGTCGATAGGAGCATGATTCCTCGCCAGTTCTTGCAGAGTGGGCCTAAGTCGCCCTTCTTTGGTAGTTTCACGAGGTAACCTTTCCTCCAGTCAGTAGGCACCTTTCCCTCCTTCCAGACCTTTTGCAATAATGGAGTCAGCATGTCTGCTGTCGTCTCTGGGTCTGCTTTCAGTGCTTCAGGGGGTATTCCATCTGGTCCGGCTGCTTTTCCAGCTTTCAGAAGTTTGATTGCGTTCAAGACTTCAGCTCTCGTTGGAGGATTGGTGTCAACTTGCAGTTGTGTGTGCGCTGTTGTTGGTATTTCTGGACGGGTTGCAGGTGATGGTCG